TAATGTTTACTCATTGTCATATTATAATAGGTCCGTGTGTTAGTTCATGTTAATACTTTTAAGAAATAATCGATTTTGTATCAAAAATTATAGTTAGTCAGAAAATATTAATATACAAAATAATATAATATAAAATTGAAACATCGACTTTTTATATATAAAAAGTTCGTTCACAAGAATATTGGTCCTATACTTAAGGTCCAATTTTTGTTTATTCCAACTATCAGTTATACACTCAATACACATTTTTGCTCAATGTATTAGTCATTATTTTTAATGCCCAATTTACTTTTATACATTTTAGTGTACAACAACTTATTAGTTATTACTTCTATATTTCTATGATATCCAATATTTGACTTAAAAATATAACACTTTTATACATTTTGGAATAGAACACTGTTATATAAGAAACAACACTAGAAGTGTAGATCATTGACGAGTACCTACTCTATGAAAACGTATTACAGTACAACTTCGATTAACCGTCACTCGATTAACCGTCACTCTCTGTTATCCGTCATCGGTCATCGCCGAAAAAAATAAATAATGAGGCGATTAGACGATTGTCAAATGCTACGCAAGTCTTACTTCTACGTCAAATACGTAATATTGCTGCTAAAAAAGCTAGAGAATCAAAAAACCAAACTAAAATTACAGATTTTTTTTTATAATATATGTGGTATGTATGTTTATAATTTATATGTGTTATAATAATTAATTTATATGTTATAAATGTGTGTACATATATGTATGCACACGTTTTTTTTGCAAAATTTCCGTTAATCGTCTATTCGATTAACCGTCATAGCCCCGGTCCCGACAGTGACGGTTAATCGAAGTTCTACTGTACTTAAGAACCCACCACTCTCTGCTAAAAGTTATTGCAATAGTATAAAAATGTCTGTAATTTTATTTTCCTATATATTCTTAGAGAACAAATAAATTATTTATTTTAACCATGCATTTATGCGTTTAGAGAAGTCACTGTAATGGATGTGTTAAATTAGAATTTGACGATGTAAAATCATTACATACGAAAAACGATTTTGAACTGGATAATATTATTACGTTCATAAATAATTATTGGGGATTTACATTCAACTTTTTTTTTATCTCCACTAAGAATAACTTATGACAAAACTTGTACTTAATTTTAATCTTTTTTCTTTAAAAACGGGATATGGAATTTTTTCAAAAATCGATTTTGCTTATAACTTTCCATTTTTTCTTAATTTTTTTTTCGTTTCCAGGCGCTTTTTAAAACTACTGAGTATTTATAATTTTGAACTCCCGAATGTACCAACTAAATTCACTTTCTCACTAGAGAAGATACTGAAGTTGAAAATCGAAGCTTTGTGCGACTACTTATCGTATACACAGTCAAACACAAAAAGAAGAAACACACATCATTATTAAAATCAATACATTCATAGGTTCACTCAGAATCTAAAAAAATAATTGGACAGCCATTTTATTTTATATATTTGGTTCAGTTCAATTATTTGATTGTTAAATTCAATTTTTCTTAAGAAATATTTATGAGGGGGGTAGGGGTTGGGTGGATTTTGGTCTGTGAAAAAAATTGTAGCCTCCAACCTTTTTCAATTATTTTCCTATGCCTATCAATCGTACTTATACCGTTGATAAAAATAAAAGTCGATGGTATTTGAATGTAATCTTTGGGACTTAAGTCTAATCTATATCAAGGGTCCCCACTCACCATTTGATGCCCATGGATGAACATTATCCAGTCAGTCAGACAGACAAGAAATGTATTTATATTTATTTTTGATATGGTATATTAAATTAAATTTTTGATTTTGCCTTTTCTTTCTTTGGTTACACATGTAAGTTAGATATTTAAATATTAATGGGCCCTGAAAATTTCCTGAATTCCTTAAGTGGTCCAACAAAAATATTGTTTGGTGATCCATGGTTTAATAATAGTTAGTCAACAAAATTAAACAAAATTAAAATTAAAGATGGTAGTATTACTATAGGATAATCAGCAACACACTAAAAAAATGTCTATGACTTTGTAGTTGGTATTAATGGGTCTCGAGTCACAAAAACAAAATTTTTTTTTTCTTTTTCTCTAACGTAATATTGCAACAAAGGTATTCCGTACATCTAAAATTATGAAGTTCTGGTTTAGTTTAAACGGACCTATTATAATATTATATAATATGTTTTATAAAGATAGAACAATTGATTCTGAGTACATTGCCTGGATAGCTTTTTTAATATTTTAAAAATTAAAAGATGTATTTATTGTTAAAGCTTATAATTAAGATCAATTAAGTTAAACTAAAATACACTAACCTTGACAAAAATTGAAAAAATATCGGACCTATGCACAGGAAATATCCTTCTTAAAATGTATGAGATAAGCCCATTTGCTCTAAACTGAACTAGGGAGTCGTTATCATGGCAGTACAAAATACATTTGTTGCAGTACCTATTACGCGCGAGACTGACCGGAAAAAAAATGTTGGGATTATGCAAATTTTAGGCAAATTTTTTTTCAAAAACAAATTGTATTGTACTATAAAGTTTAGCTAGTAAACTATTAAATAAGAATATCGTATTATTTTGTGTTGCACTTGAACTCAATTATAAAATCTTTTATCGGTTTAATAGAGCATCTAGTCAATTAGTGATGCATTTTTTTTTAAATGTTAACTATTTTCAAAGACAAAAAGTACCTAACACATAGTTTCTGGATTTTAACTGTAACTTTTTTTTAAATTTAGGAAAATAGGTTGGTTTATTTAAGTCAGTGAGGTATAAATTATAATGAAATACGAATAATGCACTCTGCGTATGATGATATTTTCAAGGAGCGTAACATTGTATGGTTTATTATTTTATATTGGCGACTATGAAGATAGTCATTTATAAATATTAAATTATACATATAAGTAGTATAGAAGGAATTGGATGTGTGTGTTCTCGTCATGGTCAGCTGGTGTGTTTGTGACTTGCGTACCTATATACCATCGTTCATCATATTGACGTGAGAGATGAGTCCACGCTAGATTGTGTTTTATTAAAGTGTTTGTTTTTTTTAAATCAATTGTTCTACTTTTTTAGGTGCCTGATAAATCACTTATTTACTTTATTATACGTTTAATATTTTGCTTTTTATTATATTAATAGTTCGGATATTGTAGTCTTGAATTAGCTTAGCTCAGTAGATATATAAGTTATAATAATTATGTTAATAACAATATAATAATAATTAATATCTGCAATGATTTTGTTAAAAATTAGTTTAAAAATTAATCTACTTTATTAACAACAGAAAAATAAATTTCTTAAATAGTAATATAAATATATTTTAAAATATGTTTGGAATTATATTGTTTTTTCGTATACAATGGTTTATCGCTGAATTCAAAATAGTAATTAATCTTGATGTTTATACAAATTTATGAAACCAAACTTTGTTCGAACCTACGTCTGAAAGACGGATATAGTGTTAGTGGTGTCTACTAATACTTCTATTTGAGTATTTCAACAATTTTAGGTAAAAATAAAATTGCGAACGGCAGTGGACAACATGGTAAATGTTGAATTTAATATATATTGATTGTTTAATTTAGTTAGCGAAACAATTGCCAATGAAAAAATTACATTTTATTTTTATTTTGAACTAATATACTTATTACTTCAATATAAATTACATACGTATTACCTTAAATAAGTAACTTATTAATGCATTTATTTAATTACATATCTCCTAAAGTTTAAATTAATTATTGAAAACAATAAATACAAATCTTGCATTAAAATCAATCTAATATATGGTCATACTTTAATAAAAATTAAAAACTTAAAAGGCTGTTTTAAATAAAAATGTGTTTTTTTCAAGTTTAGAGAGATAATTTTAATACAATGTGCGGATACAATTCAACACTCATATTTAATAAAAATGAGCTTATACTGTTTATAGTAATTTCTGGAAATGGTATACGCATAATACACTTTATGTGATGATATATGCTAGTGATTTGTTACATTTTGTTACATTGACCATGGGATAAATCTAATGCCTATAAGAAAGATTCAGAACATATTATAGACTGATTAATAAATAAACATTTTAGTGAGAAATGTAGTCGACAAAATAATACTATGATACAATTGGATGTGTGAATTGACATGGCCATATTCACTATACGTTCAAGAACACACATAAGCTCAATTTCTTTGTCCATTTATTCGTGACTGAAATTAATTTCACAGGCGTCTTTTTAGTTGCTTTCGATTTTCTTTTACAATTTCCTTATCAGTACCTACATATATATATCATGTACGTATACGTTTGGTATAAGCAACGGCATTTTTCCGTTTTCTTGTACTATAGCTTCGTGGGAAAACGGAACAACACGATGACTCAACCAATAAAATATATAAATGTTATATTGTGTCGGTATGTCTTTTTACGTGCAATTACATTATGTTGCTGTTATTTTGATAGTTATTTTATTTAAAAAAAAAAACGTTCTGAAGACAAAGAAGGCTTTATTAAAATTTCAACTAGACCTACATAGTAAATATTTAGTTTCAAAAAACCATGCTCAGAATAAAACTATTTTTTAAGTAAGTAGTAGATAAAACTGCTTAACTCTAAAATTAAGTACCTATTATTTTTGATTTTGTAGCCCTTAGTTATCTAATAAAATTAAAAAGTAAGATACCTTTGATCAACAATATTGATTTTTGTTGTACATTACACATAATACGATCAAGTATCAATACTAGTCATACATATTTTACACAGGAGGATATTAATTATAATAATAAATAATATTTGTTGTTCTTGTGTGGCTGTGTGTTATAAAAAAATAGTACCTAACACAGCAAAATAAAATTCATAATTCATTGTAATGTTGTATTTTATAATGATATTTCGAATTTGGGTACCAAGATTAATATAAATCAAAATATTATATTAGTATATCATGTAACCCAGTAAAACTGTATATAAATACCTGTTAATGTTACCGTATGGCCTGGTGCAATGACTGGCTATTGTGATTTTTACCATCACCCTCCTGTTAATATCGTCCAACATTCGGGCCATGTCCTCGCCCTTCCACTTATACGTGAAAACTGCACTGACATTTCCTGCAACAAAATAAAGTCAAGGTTATTAAACATATATAAGTGTACTACACTCAATGCAGATAGTGTTTCGGGGTTGATAGTAGGTACTAGGTTTTAATTAAATAACTATGGTAGTTGCCGCTTGGTAAGAGATCATAGAAAGAACTTTGTGAAGACATCGTCTAATGGATTCGTATTATTTTTATCGCTTTTATAAATACAGGATGACCGGGTGTGCCACCGTATTTAATCGTTTGTTCATATATCTAACATAGGTCAACACGGAGACTCACTATGTATATGTATATGATTATTATTATTGTCATTTACTTTTTTCAGTTTTTAGATAACAAAAGGTCTAACGATACAACAAACTAACCAAAACGAAATAGTAGTTTAGATGTAGGTCATGGCTAATACTCATGTAGTAAACACGCATCTAATAATCGCTCGTGTATATTTTTCTGGACCACAGCGAACTCATGTTTATTTTTAATATTGCTTGTTACCAATTTTGTAAGAACTGCAAGTTTGATTAGGTTTGGGATTTAACGCGTACATGGTTAAGAAATGATATTTCGTGCGTGTCGATAACTGTTTATAACTGAACATTTGAAATGGACAATTAGCGTGATAAATAATGCAAGTATATTTCTTATTTGTTTTTATAAAGCAAATCCATTTTAAAACAAAATAATTTTTTTTTTTAAGGATGAACATTTATATAGTTGTATATATTCCAGAAAAAGTGTTTTTTTTTTTGTGATTTTTTAAATGAGAATTAGTCAAATAAATGTGTAAGAAAATCCTATAAATGACATAATTGACAGACCTATATAGAGTCTACCATTTATATGATACCATAAGGTGATAATAATTTTTATCTTAAATTAATAGGGCAATTGCATACAATTGCAACTTGCAAAAATGAATTTTAAGTTATAAACTTATAACCCATATCGACGACTTAAGCATACTTTTTCAAAACTTCTAACGTTTTATTTTTATTTATTATAGAAAATTGCAATATTTAACTAATGTTGAGTTTAATACAAAAATATAAAACATCAGAAACTAAAACTTCTCTATTTTTTATTTTTCACGTTTGAACAACATGAACCTAATACGAGTTTACTGACCGCGTATATAATTTTTACAAGCTATATTGTGTCCATGTCCGTTGATCACATCAATATGTTGACATCAGTAGACGCACTTGAGAATTCGGTATCGTTGTTCACGCAACAATAGCATTATTTATAACAAGAATAATAAACATACCGCTGGCCACTGCCAGAACAGATTTGATTCGATAAAAATTGAAACAAATTTGAAATTATAAATCTAAAAATGTAATAAATATTTATTATTTATACTGTTAATCCAAAATAATTAGTTATATTGTAGAATGTAGATAGCTTGTAGCTAAAATAACTACATTTATTATGTAAATGATATACGTAAAAACTTATTGGAAAAATATTTCAATATAGTTATTATAACTGAGTTCCTACTGACTGTACACTTAAAGATATAACTGATGCTCTTTATATTTGTTTCATTTAAATATAAAGTAAATTACATTTTTAATAAGAATTTATTTGTATCACTGATAAACAATGGTTATAAATATGATGTAAAAGTAATTGCAATTTGCTGATATTTATATGAATAAGCATTTGCCAATGCTTGACCAATAATGTAGACTAGAAAATATGACATAACCGTAGGTTTCTGTAAAATAATTCGTGCAAATCGAATCACAACAAATTATGATTTGGTAAATATTTGGTCAGATAAGCATTTTGTCGTAAATTCTATAGTGACTTGTAGATAAAAAACAGTAGGTACCTATATTACACTGTATATTGAATATTTTCTCCATTCTCATTTTTAATTGACATATTATGGTTAAATTAATGTCCATAACTGTTGTGAAATCTAAAAAAACTGTATAAACTAGGATAAATTAAGATCTAAGACTTAATCTAGACAAATAACAACATAACTTAAACAAATGACAGTATCATATTTTATGTAAAAATTGTATTTATGTTTGAGAGTTTTTATGTAAAACAATAATGGCAAAAACATAAATGATTGGATTTTAAGAATAATTTAAGACAAAGTTTAGTCAACATACAATTTTAATGTTTTAATATTTTTTGAAAAGAACTAAGAAATTAAAAAAAATTATTATTGAAAAATGAAAAAAAACGTGTTAAAAAAATCTTAATCTCAAGAGATGCGTTATTTTGATACTAGAGATCAGTTACCATTTGTAGTTGGGGAAATGCTTGAAATATGAACATATTTTCGTAAGAATCTCCCTACCAATGAAAACAAATACAAGTTGATAGCATTTACCTACACTTCTAAAAAGTACATTGGGTATTATTTGGTTTGTATGAACCTATATAAGCATCTATACATATTTAATAATTTTTATTTTTTATTCAGTTAAGCCAAGTTATCAATCTTATGAGCATAGCTTCAAACTTTACTTCAAACATTTTATGTTACTTATACCTATAAACATAGGAAGACAATCAATAGGGTAATTATGTTTTTAATAATAAACATATCGGTTAAGTTGTTTATTGGTTTGAATTATTATCTCTCCCTTAATGTATCGCATTAATAGTTTATACTTAAAACCAAACAAACAGTTCTCAGTTTTTTTTTATATATTTATATTTGTATACAAAATATTTTATACTATTGAATAATCAACCTCTCAAATAGTGAAATGAAAAATTATGAAAAATATATTATAATTATTAATATAATTATTAAAGAAATCGTTGTTTTGTACTTTGCTTTTTATACTCTCATGAGTACAACTATATTACGTTTGTATAGTTCTGTAATGATATCTTTGTTGCTATATTACTGCGTATATTATATAATTGAAATTTATATTCCGTAGATTGAACAAATATTATTTATTGTGTAAGACAAAAGGAAACGTGACAAGAATACTTTCGGTCGGACGATTCGTTCGATAATCATGTTTTATACAAATCTAACAAGCGATGAATAACAATTCAATTATAACTTCGAGTAGAAATTCAAATAAAAAATTAGGTACTTCTGCCCAGTGCTCACCTTACCTTTAAAAACTCACCAAACAATACGTAATAACCTAATATTTAATATGTTATATTTTTAGAATTTAAATATATAGTCATACACACTATGATAGTTTTTGAGTATTAATGTCAAGTATAAGATCTCATTGAGTCTAGTACAAACTTGAGTAGGTACCTATATATATATTATGTTCAGCCTGTTAGTTTTCATAAGACAAAAAATATTATTGAAAAAAAAATATATGCTTATATTTATTGCTATAACCAATTCTAATAACATTGTTCAGATCCCTCTAAAGACAATAAATAATTTTGATTATTCTAACCATAGCATTAAGACATGGCTATATTAAATTATACTATGCGGAAGCCGGATTGACAATAGCCATAGCCACCTTGAAGCTCCAAATCAAGATATTTAATAGATATATAAATGTATAATGTATAATGTAGGTACACATAATATATACATATTAATAAAATTGCAAAAACATGCCTGAAAAATATTTTGAAACTATAAAAAACAAATCTTTCATGTTGTATTTATGTATATTTTATTTATACTGTAGAATCGTCCATTTGTCAAAATTCTACCACAAAACAGTTATGTTTGTAAACCAACATGCTCAAAAATTTGCATTTCTTATCGCACACACATTACGGTATCAACGTGTTTGTGCTTCATCTCCTTTTGTTCGCATGAACGATTTATATGGGAAAACAGGTATTTTGTAATTTATTTTTTGAGCGTATAAAGTTGCTAATATAATGGTTTGTCATCGGTTAATCGTCAAAAGCTATCGATCAACTGAATACTAATGTTGAACAAGTGTAATGTGAGCATAAACTACAAACGGAAATTGCCACTTGATGTATACCTACTATTTTCTGTAATTAACTATAATTTTCTTTTATTACCTATATAAATTGGTTGTATAGTAAAATACTAAAATGTAGCTTTTTATATACCCGACTTCGCAAAGTAGACATTTTTATTTTACTCAAGTCACTGGTGTATTCCTATTTTTGTATTTTGCCTGCTTTACTTCGTGATACGTGTACCTAACAGTTTTATTTTTGAACACCTTTCCAATGATGTATCTATTTATCCTTTACTAACAAATTAATTTAATGTGACAACAAAATTAATTAACCCTTAAGTTACTGCATAGCATAGAATAAAATTGATTCGTCAAATTGTAAGTTATTTTTATAAAAAAAAAGTAAGCAACTCGTTATGTGACTTAGGTAAAAGTACCTTAACTTTAATTTTTTAATTATTTTGTTTCAAGCTTTGGCTTATCTATATCTACATTATATAATATATTATGAATTAAAAGAAGCAAATTTGAAATCAATTATGTCTACAAATGTATTTACTTGCCATAATTAACTAATTTAGCCCTCAGCACTAGTTCTGGGTGATAGGGACGCACGCCTGAGGCCAATAATAATTATTTGTAGTTATTTAAAAGGAGCACATCGTTATGTTTCATTCGAATTGAACTTAATCCGGCCTTGGTTATAAATTTATAATATTAGACAAAATCATGAGTGTCAAGTTGGTAATATTTGTTTTATCAAATAGTAATTTTTTGTGGTACTTCTCTATAATAATAATTATTTTTCTTTTAAAAACCGTTTGTTGTGTAATTTATTTGTAATAAATAATTATAAACTTGGATACGTACTTAGTAAATACAAAATAAAGTGAAAAAATAATGTAAAAAACGGGTTAGTGGGTAACGATTTGTTGTATATTATAAGGTGTCTTGAGAGTCACTATAATGGATATTGGATGTGTTAAATTTTAATTCAATAATTGTTGTACATGAAAACGATTCTGAGAGAACACGGTCTGTCAGCCTATATGTACTAAGTACTTTTTATGATATTACTGTGATTAAAGTATTTCAATATTATGCATTA